GGCACTATGGGAAGGTATAAAACAGAAAGCTCCACAAGGAAGCCCTCTAACTGCCTTTGTGTCTAATAACGGCATTTGAAGAAAGCAGCCCATTTTTCTGCATGGCTCATCCACTGAAGGGTTCATGGCATCAGCAGTACTGGAAACAACCAGGAAACAGTCGTCTTCCCACGTCAGATGAAAGTAATGAAAAAAAATTCTACAGTTGGTTGCCAGCCCTCCACCCCCAGCCGCCTGGGTCTGGGAGTTTTTGGGAGAGAAGCTGGCAGATGTGAAATATAAACACGGTCCAGAAACTTGTTGTATTTTAAAAGAAGTGGAAACAGGGATTCGTGCATAATGAGGATCCCAGGGATTACAATCGAATCCTTATGCGTAGCATCAACATGAACGGAAGATGTGTTCTCTCATAGTTATGGTGACACTTTTGTGTAACTGAGAAATTAGTTATACAGAAGAATATAGTAGGTCCCTGAATTGTTTAGGTTTCAAGGTTTTCTTGCCTAATCACCCTCAGAAAATGTATTTTAAGTAGACCACAGATGCAGCGTCTAGTTAGCGGTGTCTGAATTTCGCATGTGTGCACGTGTGTGAGTGAATAGGGGGGTGGTGTGTAAGAAGATAGATCAGATCCAACTTCCCAGACTTCATCTATACTGCAGAAATGGAAATGGTTGCCTAACATCAAATTAATTCTTTTATAGCTATTCCACAGGGGAAAATAGTTTCACTTAAAATTTCATTAGCAAACTCTTCAACTACAATATTGCGCCAGTTTGCACTGTAAGATACTTTCACAGCCTTTACCAAACGATGTCAGAAATTTATTTGGGACAAGAACATGCCTGGTTCGCATACATCCATGCAGTTGGGCAAGAATTTCCCACTGCCTCCATACAAAATAAAAAGGTCAGTGAGGAATCTAAGCCAATAGTCAATACCATTTGCTGTTCAGTACTGAAGCAATGGATGTGGAGCAGATCACACTTGTCCTTCCTGCCTATGTGCCAGCCATGCTTTTCTGGGAGGAGTCCATACCACATGCCTCAAAGTTTCTTACAAAAGCAAAATATTTCCCCCAATGTCAATAACAAAAATCTTCCCACCAGGCAGGCTGGAGCTATTCACTATGGGCAAGAATTTGGTCGGTCAGTCATTTTAGAAGCCACTTTCCTGTACTTCTGGCTGACCTGGAGATACTGGCTACCACAGCAGTCAGAGGCTACACCATAGTGACAACTACCTAAGCACTAGTAATTAGTAAAGAAAGAAGGAAAATGGGTGAAGATACTTCTAAAATAATGAAGCCAGAACAGCTTGCTTTATTTGTGAGAAATATCATAATGAGAGGACGAGCCACAAACAATTCTGAAGTTTAATGTTTCATTAAATTTTGTTTGGGATTCATTTCTTCCCTTAAAGACCACAGTATTACTTGCAGATGCTCCAAGCAGGCAAGAAACTATCAGTAAAAGTCATTTGCTGCAAAAATTCCTGATCTTTCAAGCAAGTTACTAAAGAAGAGCGATGGATAAAGCAAAACGGCCAAATTCAGTAAAGCAGGATGAACAGATCTGCTAGTATGGCACTGTGTGCTTTGACACAGTGTGTCAGGTGTGCTTTTATTAGAATAGCAAGCTACAGCTTCCCTCAGACAGACTAAAGTGCTTTTAGTAATTATCTGAACTTGGATGGAATAGGATGCAAGTGCTGTTAGCCTCATTCTGAAAGACACAAATAGAAATGGATCTGTGGGAGCAAAGAAGCCAAAACTACTTAAGGGAGGAGATTCAGGGCTGGTACCAAGGTAGAAATACATTCTGTATAACTTTACAGTGGTGGTGGTGAGGAAAGTAAAGCAAGCTGTATGTCATGATGAAACTAAATAAGAACAGGTCTTATCACATAAAAACAGACTGCACAATAATCTAAGCAAAGCAGGCAAGTCAAAATTCTCATTTTTTGGACTGTCTCCAGAGCCAGATTTCAATGGGTATTAATAATACCTTGTTTTATGCATTACTGATATGTTCCATAGCTACAGCTTATGGTGGGTCTTTTCAAACAGTTACATCACTATTGTTCTGAAACAAGTGCTCTGTGCTCCTGCTGGAACTAAAAGGACAAGGTCCCCAGGAATCCTAGCTGAAGTAGACAGCATAGCACATTTGTGACGGGATCCATGACACAGTCTGCTCAGAATAAAGAATTAGATAAAATTGGACACCATAACTATAGAACAGCAATGATACTATAAAAAATTGCTCTCACAGGCGACATATCTGTTTGATGCTCAGATTTTAAGTTTCAAAGTATATTAGCTGCGAAAAAACAAACAGTGATGGATACGAAATGAGTTAAAGACCTCAATCCTGACCAGACCAAAAGGACGACATGTGTTGTGTTACATGCACTCTTTCTGCTGGTCCCAACAATAATTACAAGCACATCCACTTAAATGTACTGATTTTGCATGCAGGCCTGTGTCCCCACTGAATCACACAACAAAACATTGAGGGCACAATTAGTGAAGCCCTTTGCTATTCTGGTCCAGAGTGGTATTGTATACTGTGACACTTGTTTTTGGATTCCCAAGCTGTCTTGTGGGACTATACGTTACCAGCTTGAATCTCAGATCTTCACGAATTGAAAAAAACTCCACAAACACAAAAACTCCCCACAGCTGAAACATCTGAAAAGCCAAACATTTGATTACACTTGCAAAGTTTAAATAAACATGTGGTTTGTTTTTTTTGTTTTGTTTTCTTTTGTTGTTGTTTTTTGGGGTGGTGTGTTTTTTTTTGTGGGTTTTTTTTTTTTGTTTTTTTGTTTTTTTTTGTTTTTTTTTTTTTTAAAAAAAAAAACAGAAGCAGGCCTGGGGAATGTATTGTGATGAGCAATGAAAAGATTTACATTTTCACCAGTCATTCCCAAGCTCCTTTCCTACTGTTTTAACAGAGAACAGTTAAGAGACAAGATTCAATTTTGATGCTTTCCCCCCCTACTGTTGCTACTTGTCCTGATTACCCACCTTTCCCTGTGCCACCAGTTCTCTCTGGGCTGCTGAAGCGGACTTCACAAGGGCACTGGTAGCAGCTGCAATGGATTTAGCTGCTTCCAGGATCTGTTCTTCGAAATCCAGAGTCTCATCTGCTTGCTATAACCAAGAAAGAACAATGTCACACATTATTCACCTGAAAGCAGTTGTATTTTCAAGATTGAGGACATACACAAAGCGAGACAAGAAGATTTTGGAACACATCAGTAAATTCAGTAAGAACTACATCATCATTTTCTGCAATGGAGTTTCATGTGGACTAAAGCTGGGAGTTAACATTAGGGAATTTAAATATTAAGTTGCCCTTCTGGCTGCCTACATGTGAAATTGAGTATCACATAAGATACTTAAGGAATTGCCTTCAACTTTCTAATACATTACCTCCACTAGGGCTATTCAAAACTACATTCGGAAAAGTGGAGGTCTGAAAAGAAATTATTGTTTTTCCATATCAAGATTATCTTTGTAGTGCTTGTAGTGCTATGGCTTCCAGGATTGCTAAACTAGGTAGAGCATTTTCTAAATACTTAAAGCATTAAAAAATAACAGTGATAAATGTATATTGTTGCATTCAGCGGTGCTATGAAATGTAACATAGATACCAAGCAAGTGCATAGATTTAACAGCTTTTGGTAAGAGCTGTCATTTCACAGAGCAGCATTGTGAAGCAGTCCAGTTTAGTCATCTTGGAGTTACGAAGTTCTGGAACACTTCAGTCATCCAAACGTGTCTTTCAACAAGCATGTGCAAATAGAGCTGTTCCTAATGAGGTTTCTTGCTATTTAAAATGCAAATCTATTGTTCCATAAAACAACAACTTCCCTGACTTTCTGGTCATTTAAGCAAATACTGAAAACATTTATCCATTTAAGCATGCTTAATAGCTCCTGAACAGTTAACAAAATAGATAGAGATAAATGATTACTGTTATTTTAAACAGAACCAGGCCTGGTCCACATATTCTGATTGTTTTTTTTTATTCAAAATAAACCAACAGAACGTATTTTGTTTGTGATTAAATCACAGGCCTACCAGAATCCAATGCAGTATGACCAGTAGGGCTAGTGGATACAATACCAGAACAGACCACCTTGTGAGAGATGAGGCTTTCGAAATACATTTTTCTTCCAGCTTATGCAACCACGGCATTCTTGTGTCAAATAACTAACTTTAGGAAGACCAGCTAAGTGGCCTTTGAGTTAGAAAACTGGGCACTTCATTAGCAAGTCTAAGCACATCCATCTAAATTTAAGTCAGGTTTAGTTCTGTTACTGCAATCTGATAAAATAATAGTCAATTATAAAATAATAAAAGATAATTATGAGTAATTACAAATCATTACAAAATGGCACATCAAGCAGTGCTCAGTCCTACAGCACTTCACATAGCTGCCACATAACTGCAACAAAGTCCAGGAGATGAAACCGTAGCATCCATAGCAGAAAAACTGAATAATCTGAAAATAAAAACTGTTGTGTAGATGAAGTTGTTTGGCACTTGAAAGTTTTTCTTGGCCTTTAGGAAAAGCTACCTAATTCAAGGAAAAGTATTTTTCTTGCCTTGCTATTGGACTAATCCCATCAACTGAAGTATATATCTTTGTAATAAGAGTATAAGAAATTGCTTTGTAAAGCGAGCAAGTCATGTTCCACATGAATTTTTGGCAATGTTTGCAATGTAACATCATGACCGTTATTATATCTAAGCACTAATCACATTGGTCCTGAATTTATGCCACAGGCCTCCAGTCTTATTTATAAAACTCTTTCTTCAATCACGACATCACAAAACCAAAGTGACTAAATGGAATTCAGTATAGCCACTATCAGATTTCTTTTCATTATTAAAATAGATGCATTGTTGACTTTGATTTAAGTTGACTAAAGACTTAAACTGAAATATCAAAAAAAGTACCACTGGATGATAGTCAATTTAACAGACTGTTATTGCACTTTTACTTTTTACAGACTGTTATTGGACTTTTACTCTTGTCCAAGGCTCCCTGTTATTGAGAGTTTTAAAATTTTCATTTCCAACATAAAAAAATACATGTATTATTCTTTATATGTCAGAGTTGTCAGGTATTCAAACTTAAGCGAGTGAGCATTTCAGTATCTGCATATTTATTATAAAGGAGGTGTCATACTTTTGTAAAGTTTAATAAAATGCCCATGGCCATACTCTGATCTATTAGGCAGCCTTGTATGTGCCCAGATGGTATTCAATTTGTGAAAAAACTGCCACCAAAAAGAGGCTGAAGAAAAGTAGTTGTTTGAACTCAGTTCAGCGTAGCGAGTGGACTAAATATGGCACATAAGTGCTAAGCAAAAATGACTACTTTCAAAGGGAATGCATAGAAATCAAATCTTGCATTACTGAGAATGCTATTCTACAATGGCTGGGTTAACTTCCACCATGGAGCAGCAGGGAAAGCTC